ACCGCAGCGAGAGGGAAGGGCGACCACGGTGGAGGCCCGACGTGGTCGTCAGCGGGCGATAGGAGGCAGGCTCAGAGTGGGGAGCCCGACAGGGCCAAAACTCACAGTACAGGATGCAAGAGGAGAGAGTTGCCTAGAGAGCACCCTGGAGATGTGCAGGTACCCTCCTCACCCAGCTGAGGATGCAGCAGAAACTGATGGGCGCCTACATGAGAAGGCACTGCCCAAAGCCAAAGAAAGAACTGCAGGAAAGGACTGTGCTGCAGCACACCGGCTGGGTGAGCACAGAGGGCCTGGCATAGTGCCTGCTCCCATCAGACAGATCGGAAGACCTCACAGTTCACCAGGCACTGAGTAGAACACCCAGTGGCTGGGTACAACTAGCCCCAGACTAGTATCAGGTCTGAATCCACTTAACAAATCCAAAAGCACGATCCAAAGGGATCAAACTACTACAGAGTAACTTAATTACATGAAAGCTCAAGAAAGTTTATAGACATACAAAAATCTCCAGAAACATTCAGAGTAAAATTGACAATGTACAGCATCTAACTCAAAGTTACCAGCTGGGCAGAAAGGCAGGAAAATATCTGTGATTCAGAAATAAGAAAAATCAATAAATCTCCACAATCCAGAACTGACACAGGTGTTACAACCAGCAGGCAAATTAAAATATTTATTATATCTGTATTACACATGTTGAAGAAGAGAACCAGAGACATGGAAGATACAATACCCAAATCAAATTTCTAGGGGAGGATGAGGGAGATGGGTGTAACTTAGTGGCGGAGCACATGCTTAAAATGCACGAGGTCCCAGGTTCAATTCCCAGTACCTCCACTGAAAAAACTAAATTTTTAAAATAACTTTTGACTAAACTTCAATAAAAACAAATAGTTAACAAGTGAACGAGTTTTACTTCTTTAAAAAAAGACGCTAGAGAGGAAGCTACAATGTCTGAGGCCAAAACTTTGGTAACATTAACAGCATATTAGAAAATGAAGAAAAGACTAGTTTATTTGAAGATATAGTATAGAAACTATCCAAAATGAAATACAGAAAAAAAAAGTTAAAACATGAACAAAGTGCCAGTTTTCTGTGGGATAACTTCAGGAGACCTAATGAAACTAGACCTCCCAAAAAAGAGACAGAAAGGTACAGGAAAAAAGTTTTTGAAGGAACAATGACTGAAAAATTTCCAAATCAGATGAGTATTATAAACCCAAGATCCAAGAAGCATAATGAACAAGTACACAAACCATGAAGATAAAAACCAGGAAAATCAAGAGAAAATTCGAAAAATAGTCTGAGATATAACACACGTTAGGTACAGAAGAGCAAAGATAAGAATGACAGCAAATTCTCAGTGAAAACAATGTCAACCCCAAACTTTACACCCAGTTAGAGTATACTGCGAACACAGAGCGAAATAGCAACTAGTTCAGGCATAAAGAGCTGACAGGATGAACCCAGATCTGAGCTACAAGACATAATAAAAGAAGTCCTTCAGTGAGAAGGCCAATGATGCAGATGGAAGCATAGGTCTCCGAAGAGGAGTGAAGAGCACTGGAAAAGATAACCACATGAGTAAATACAGAGACATTCTTCTCTTAACCTAATGTGCAGAAAAATACTATCAAGTTTACAACATACACAGAAATGTATAACAACAACAGCACAAAGGTGAGGAGGGAAAAAATAGAAATATACTAGTGTGTGACTCATTTAGTGTAAGTGGAGTAGCACAGCATCACTACGGTAAGTTACACGTGCACGATACGCATCCTAAAGCAATCACTAAAACAGCGTTAAGTTAGAGCTCAAAGAAAACAAAGACAAAATAAAATCACAAAGAACAACTAATTCAAAGAAAGGCAGAAAAAGAGAAGAGAACAATCAACAGTTAGAGAAGTAATAAAAAAACAAATAGCAAAATACCGATAGAGATAAATAAGTTCAAATTAAAAGAATGGAAAAGATACACAATAGTTTGTCATGGTATATGGTATACCATGGTTTAAATACTATACAGCGTTGATCAAAAGAAACGTTATTGTATCACGTTACCTATATTAATATCAGACAAATAACGATTTTAAAGTGAAAATTTCACAGCAAAGGGATATAGCGGGTAATCAGTCAATTAATCAAGGAAAGTAAATCTCTACTTAGAAAAGAAGGAAGACCCTAAGCCAATGACCTCAGATTCTTAGACAAAAAGAATTAATAAACATTAGTGCAGAGATCAGTGAAACAGAAAACAGAAGAACAATGGAGAAAATCAAGGAAACCATAAGCTTGTTCTTTGGAAAAACTTAATTAAAAAAACTGAATGAAAAAGAAAATACAACATACCCAAACTGGAGACACGTAGCTAAAGCAGTGGTGAGAGGGAAATTCACAGTGCTGAGTGTTAACATTAGAAAAAGGGTCTCAAATCAGTATATAAACTCTCACCTCAAAAAACTACAAAAAGAAGAGAAAATAAACATAAAGCAAGGAGAAAGATGAGCATATAAACCAATAAACTGAAAACAGATAACAACAGAGAAAAATCAAGGAAACAAAAAGCAGCAAAACGTAGTGGGGTCTATTTAAAATATGGAAAGCTGACTCAAAATGCTGCACATGAATACCCATAGCAGGTTTTATTTGTGATAGCCAAAAACTAGAAGTAATCCAAATGCCCTTAAAAAGAGCAATTCTATTTCTACATACTAGCAAGGAGCAACTGGAATATTTCTAGGTAATAGCAAAAGATACATATAAATTTTTAAAATACCATTTTTAACAGGGTAAGAAATATGAAATAGGAATAAATACAACAAAAGATATAAAAAGACCTGTACCCTGACACTGCAAAACGCTGCTGAGAAATAGTAAAGATTTCAACAAACGGGGAGAAACACTACGTGCATGGGTTGGCAGATTCAATGGTGTGAAGCTGTCCCAAACTGATCTATAGTCAATGCAATCAAAATCCCAAGTAGGCTACTTGGTAAAAATTGACAAGCTGATTCTAAAAGTTATATGAAAAATGCTAAGGGCCTAGAATACCCAAAACATACTGTAAAAAGAACAAAGCTAAAGAATTAGCAAAGCCTCAATTCAGTCTTTTATAAAGCTACAGTAATCAAGACCCTATGGTATTGGCATCAAAACACAAAAATAAATCAATGAAAACAGAACTGACAATCCAGAAATAGATCCACACATACATGACAACTGATTATTGATAAAAGGACAAATTCTTTCACTAGAGAAGCAATAGTTTTTGTCAACAAATGCAACTGAAACAACCGAATATCCCTACACCAAAAATAAATAAAATTCAACCCACACCTCACACCATGTATGAAATGTAACTCAAGTTCAAACATATGCATAAATGTCAAATGGCATAGAACTTTCATAGGAAAACCCAAAAAAAGAATCCGTATGATCTTGAGTTAGGCAAAGGTTGTTTAGACGCCAACATCCAAAGTACGACCCATAAAAGATAAAAATGGACCAACTAGACTTTATCAAAATTGAAATTTTCTGCCCTTTAAAATTCAACCTAAGAGAATGAAAAGACAAGCCACGCTGGGAGAAAATATCTGCAAATCATATATCTGATGAAAGACTTGCACCCACAATACATAAAGAATGTTCAAAACTCAATAAAACGGAAAAAAATTAGGTTTAATTACATGCAAAAGATATGAACAGACACTTCAACAGAAAATGTATCTGGATGGTAAATAAGCAAAACGCTCAACTTCATGAGTCATTAGGGAAATGCAAAATAAAACCACAATGAGATACCACTACACGTCCGTAAGAATGGCTAAAACTAAAGACTGGCCATACCAAGTAGAGACAGAAATAGGGAGGAGCTTTAGAACAAGCCCTTTGCAAAACAGTTTGTAGGTGTCTTAAGAAGATAAACATGCATCTACCACGTGACCCAATCATTCCTCCCCTGGGTCCTTGCCCTAGAGGAGTGCAAGTGCATGTCCATCTAAGACCTGTGCACAAATGTTCATAGCAATTTTGTTTGGACAGCCCCCAAATTGGAACAACCCAAGAGTCCGTCAACTGGCAAATGGAGGGACAGACTGCAGTACACCCATAAATAAAATACTATTCAACAGTTGAAAAGAAGTAAATTTTGATGCAATGTGGATGAATCTCAAAATAATGAGAACAGATTTATGCCCACAGGCCTATTTGGTAAATATTAGTTGAGTGTTCCAAAATTATAATTTAATTTAGGAAAACACTTAATGTAGAAACACATTGTATTTAGAAAAAACATCATTTAAAAGGGAAAATAAGGATGTTTCATTTTCCTATCTGAAATGGCACTGTTAATATTTTGATATATATCCTTGTACTTTTCTTTTTCATTTGTCCCTAATTGTGTTGTCCTATGGAGGTGGTACGGTATGTATTTTACAAGCCTTTTGTGCTAAATATTTTTTATTAGTTTTTAAATAAAAAATTTTAATTGTAGTAAAATATACATAAAACTTACCATATAACCATTTTTACGAGCGCAGTTCAGTGGCGTTAAGTATCTTTACATCATTGTGCTTGACAGCAGGACGTGTGAGACACGGAATGTGCAGAAAGTCAGAGCCCCTTTTCTTAAGTGCTGGAAATCCTAGGCAGGGTTGATGCAGCCACATGAGTGGGGTCTCCCTTCAAAAGAAGTCACTGATTCACCAAGGATGTCCCTCCAAGGCATGGGACTCACGGTGATTCTCTTACTAACATGAAACGGTATGACAGCCTTCCTGAATGACTGCAAACTTTTTGTCTCAAAATTTTCTTAAACCAAGATGTATTAAGAAAGAGATTAGATGTCAGGTAGCCACAGAGCCTTCATACATTTCGGATTATGTACAAATTAGGGAAAACAGTACAAAGGGTCCCATAACCCCATCAACTAGTTTGACAATTATTAATGTACGGCCCATAGGGCTCACATATCCTAAGAAACTCCAGGCAGCATGCTGTCTCAGACTTTCAGTACATATCACTGACATATGGGCATTTTAAAAATATACCCACAGTACCCTTACGGCAGCTAAAACAATTACTTTTTATGTCATCTAACTGCTAGCAATGATCAGATTTTCTGACCGGGCAACGACTTTTGCCATCAACTTTTACTCCCGCTTCTTACTAAAGCTAGTGAGGAAGAAATTTGTTTTGTTTTCTTTTCAAGCCAATCTGATAAGCAGTAAATTCAAACTGTGTACCTCTCAAGTTTTAAAATAAATACAATTACTTAATTACAAGGGAAAATGGGCTCCATGTTAGTATAGAAATGACCCAAGAAACTCGTCTCTATCTTGCCATAGCTTACGGTGAAAAAGAATATGAAAATGAATGTATGTAATTCATGTATCACTGAAGCATTGTGCTGGGCACCAGAAACTGACACATCATTGTAAACTGACTATACCTGAATTAAAAAAATAAAAAAAGAAAGCCATCTCCTTTGTCACTTGCAAACCATCTAACGTTAGTCGGGAACGCTATCTAATACACCTACCTCTGTGCAGTCGTTCAGGAGGGACGCTGTGGTGTCGGCGGGGTTAATGTTGACTGTCTTTAATTCAATTAGGTTATTTAGGGAATTTCCACCTAGAAAAAAAGGGAGGATAAAGGAAATCAGACTAAGGAGTTTTTATTATAGGATAGAAGATACTTTTTGAGTAAATGAATTCAATTACCTGACACAACCACCAGAGAAAGCATGGAGCTACTGTCAGCAGGATCTACTGTCATTTTTAATCTATGAATAAGAACATTGGGGAAAGTCTCCAAACGAATCCAATGCTTAAAAAAAAAAGCATTCTCAGTAAAATTCAGCTATATTTTAGCTATTAAGATAGTATCACTAAAGCTTAAGTCCAAGTAAGATTTTTAAAATACATCATTTGGCTTTAGAGTTAGACTCTGCCTTTAAGCTGGAAGAACCAAGAGTATTCTATTCCATTACTTGCTCATTAGAAGGAAGTTTCCCTCTAAGCCCCAGAAATGACGTGTTCATAGACTCCTAATCTAGGGCGGTCCCTTTATATCCATCAAAGAGTGGGTTATAGAAAACACGAGAGTCACGGTGGAGAAAAAGCCCATTTCCCCAGGTCTACCCTGCGTGTCTGGATGATGTGCACTTACGACAGCCTTCCAAAGATCATCACATATTTGTCAGGATATATTAGGAAAACTTCTAACCAGAAGCCGAATCTGAACTTGTACATTTCACACGGGGGAGTGAATCAACATAAAACTAAACACCCTATTACACCCTCTGTCTCTTGGTCGATTAGATAAAACTCGTTACCTGTATTGTTTAAAATTTCTGACAATAAAAACTGGATGGCATATTGCTCTAACTTTAAACTAATTATGAACTAAAATATGAAATGAGAACTGACAGGTACCATCAGAGTATAACTTAGATTCTCAAAGTTCATGTTGAAACTCTAAAAGGTAAAGTCATCCCAATCAGAGTGTGTGTGGTAGGGCCGCAGGGCACGCACCTTTCCTTGCGAGCCGGAGGACAGCCAGCTGGGCGCGCTGCCGGCAATGAGATGAGAAGCCTGGTTCACAGACGACGATATGTTTAGGCTCTTCACCATCCGCGACCAGCTGTCCGGCAGCATCCCTGGCTGACTGTTGTGACGACGCTTCAGCTGTTTTCCAGAACTGCCGCAGGATACTGCAGAC